CCCCCCCCAAGATCGAGATAACCTTCCAAAACTTTGAGGTCTCTTTTTCTTCCTGCGGTCCCGCTTTCTTCCCTTTTCGCCCCCCCCTTTAGAAAAGGTGGCGGGAGAAGGAGGGAGGGAGGGAGATTCTGTGCTAGTTGGAAGAAAGGGCTCTCCCTCCTCCCTTTCGGGCAATAAAACTTTCTCTCTCTCCCTCTCTCTGTGTGTGTCCAGTAAACCCCAATTACGCCGGCGGGGAGCCCAAGCGCTCGCGGACCGCCTACACCCGCCAGCAGGTCCTGGAGCTGGAGAAGGAGTTTCACTACAACCGCTACCTGACGCGGCGCCGGAGGGTGGAGATCGCCCACGCGCTCTGCCTCTCCGAGCGCCAGATCAAGATCTGGTTCCAGAACCGGCGCATGAAGTGGAAAAAAGACCACAAGTTGCCCAACACCAAGATCCGCTCGGGTGGCACCGCAGGCGCAGCCGCAGGGCCCCCCGGCCGGCCCAACGGAGGGCCCCCCGCGCTCTAGTGGCCCCCGCGCGCGCGGGAGCCATGAACCTGGGGCAGGAGAGGGTGGCGAGCGCCGGGAATATGGGGGGGGGGAGAGGCGGGAGGAGACCCTGGGGCCTGGGCCCGGAAAAGCCTTCCTGCTCCCGCCCCCCCCACTTTATCTATTTACACGAATAAACGCAGAGAAGGGGGAGGGGAAGCTTTATTTATAGAAACGACAATAGGGAGCCGGTCGAGGCCCCCCAGAAGCAAAGCTCAAGTCTCTTGCTTTCTTTCTTAAAAAAAAAAAAAGAAGAAGAGGAAGGAAGAAAGAAAAGACAGAAAGAGAAATAGGAGGAGGCTACACTCCTCGTTTTCAGCTTTGGCGAAGATGGATCCACGTTTCATCTTTAATCACGCCAGGCCCGGGCCCATCTGTCTTGTTTACTCTGCCGCGGAGAGGACGGGCCTCGGTGGCGACCATTACCTCGACACTCGGCTAACAAATGAGGCCCGGCCGCGCCGCCTCCGCTGCTGCCGCTGCTGGAAGACAGCCTGGATTTTCTTTCTTTGTCCCCCATTCCTGACACCCAGCGAAAGCACCCTCTGAGTGCCAGATAGCGCAGTGTTTTGGCCACGGTAACAAACACGTACATATAACGTCCTCCCCCTCCGTGCCCCTTCGCGGGAACACGGACTGCGCGCCCCCTTCCACTGCGGGGCTGGGAAGGGGGGCAGCAGCGAGGGGACAAGTGGAGGCGCGGGTGGCCTTGGCAACGCAGGAGCGGGCAGGGAAATTGAGTCCAAGAAAGAAAAAAAAAAAAAGAAGTGAGACCCGGGAGGGCCTTCCTCTGGAAGGTCAAGCTGTCCCTGGCAGGGTTGAGGGGCCGCTGAGTTCTGAGAGTTGGGCACAGCCCTCTCGCCAATCTTAGAGTTGTACAGAGGTGACCTGCTCTCCTAGACTGAAATTGAATGTGAAACTAGGGAATAAAATGTTGCGCCCCTCCCCGGTCGCGGAGATGATGTTACAGAGACCTCTCCCATAGTTTATCATTGTTGCATTGATTATTATTATTATTATTATTAATTATTATTATTTTATGTCATGTGTGTTCTTTCTCCTGTTCTCTTCCTGACATTCCAAACTAGGCCCCCTTCCTAGTTCTGGGGCTGCCTGAGTCTAGAACCCTTCGTTGGAGTGAAAATTTTGTGTCCTGTACAGAGTGACAATAGAAATAAATGTTTGGTTTCTTGTGACCAGCACAGCGTGTTTTTGTTAAAGCCTTGATCTAAAGAGACAGACAAATGCCATCGAGCCTCTATTTTAAGCATCCCGGTCCATTTGGATTCACATTGTATGTGGTTGAGGATTTTTTTTTTTTTTTCCAAAGGGTCCGATGGGGATTTCTACCTCTGAGGACTCCAAATTGTGATAGCTGGTTTGTTTTCCTTTTGGGGTGGGTGTGTTCTGTTTGGGGCTTTAAATTTCCCCCCTCCAGTCCAAAAAATGGATGGAAAGGACTGGGAGGGCTGACTCCAATCCCTAATGGGGGGAAAATGTTTCATTGTAGGACACAAGAGGCTTAAGTACGGCAAAGCCTTTCATATCATGATTTATTTGTCATAAGCAAATAAAATGCGGTTAAGCTGTCTCCTTCTAGACAGACGGCTCTTTGCTTATTAAAGTTCCAAGAGAGGATTCCGCGAGGCCAGCCTCTTTTCTCCCGCGTAAGAAGGTATCGTTTTCCTCTGAGGTGTTTAAGGCTTTAATGAGTCTAATTTTTTGCACAGATGTTTCTGGGTGTTTGCAGGTTTTCAGAGTATTTTTATATTACAAAGGAGCTAGCCGGTGCCATAGCTCAAACTCTGACAAGCAAATAGATAATCAAGAAGACAAATGGCCTCTTTTGTAAAGCCCTGCTCCTGTATTAATTTTCATTTTCTTTCTCATAGAAAGTATCGAAAGTACGACTGGGGACCAAATAGCTTTCTGTCTCAGAGGTCCCAGTCACCCCTAGAATGGAGTAGGGCAAGGGGGTGTGGGTGACCCTCAGAAGTTCTGTTAAGCATGAGCCGCTTTTGTGTAGTACCCAAGAGAAGTTCTGAGGTCTGGGGGCTCCAGCCTGAGGTCTCTAGTCCTGTGGTGGCCCAGGGTACAGCCACCTGCCTCTAGAGAACTTGGGGCTCAGGAGAGCATATGCAGTTAAAAGTGTGTTTTGTTTTTTTGTTCCATCTCCCTTCAGGAAATAAAAATAGCCAATTCCACCCGCACATTTTATTATTCTTTATTGTATTCCCCGGGGTTTGCAGCACGCGGGAGCTTGAGGCTGGGTAGGGCCAAGGGACAGACGAGGCTGGTGTCCCTAGCACGGAGAAAGGGTTGAACTGCTGGTTTAAATGCTGTGGGGAGACGCATAAAAAATCACCCAGACCTGGAGGATGAGAGCGGCCAGCTTTGTTCGGTCAATTGCGGTATGATGTTTAGCTGCCAGGGGATGTGACCGCCCTTAGCAGAAGGAGAAAATAGTTCTTAAAAAGCATATGCCCCCCCAGGAATGCCTCTATAGAACCAAATCAAAGCTACTCCTTGGAAGGTATGAATAGAATAAAAAAAGATTTCTATGGAGCTTAAAGTTCACAGCCATTCTGTGTAGACAAGAGCTAAGAAAAATGTGAGAATTATACAGAAAACCATTAATCACTTCTTTTCTTTAAATACGTATCCTCTCTCCTTTGTTATTATTCAACAGCAAATCTCCGCAGACCGGCTGTTGGGGGGAAAAAGTGTTAGCCGTCTCTCCCAGATCTGCAAGGGGGAAAATTTTTGGAACCATAAAGTTGAAAACTTTTTTCTCGCAGTTTGGAAGAAGCCCTTCATCATGTATGGGATGCGGAGGAGTTCGGGCAAGAGGAGGCGAGAGGCACAAAGGTAACAAAGCACCCGCCTGGGCTGGCTTTTTTTAAAAAAATCGTTTTATGAACTTTTTTTTTTTTTTTTAACAAGGGAAAGAATAAACCCCTCTCTTGGTGGGGTTTTTATGGTGGATGCTTGGTCAGGTTTGGGGCCTTTTATGATGACTGATGCTTGGGTCAGAGGGAGAGAGAAAGGCCTGACACCTGGAGAGTGTTTGAACTGCTGGGGACTGAGGTGTCAGAGCCCCTGAAGAACCCCAGAGAAGGTTGTTTGTGAGGCAGCTCAGAAGTACTCATCTGGTTTTGGAAAATGCAGGTGGGCCCGTGGGGCCCTAGCATGTGTACATGTATGTGTGTGTAGCGATGTGTACATGTGGCCGGTTGTTCTGTGACTCTGCTTGTCTACACTGGGGGCTTGTGTCCCATGTATCTGTTTACTGGTGAGATGCTGGCACTGCTGCCCCTGGAAAATGTGGTGCATTTCTTGGCTAAAATGCCCCAGCCTTGGAGCAGGGTATACGTGGATGTCTTCTGTTGTTTTGTTTTTTTCTTGTTGTGTCAAACTTGGAATACTAGGCAAATATTCACAACTCTCTGGAGCAGGAAACTGCTCCGATCACAGGAATCTTCCTCTTCAGTGCTATCCCCCTCCCTTCTTCCTGAAGGCTCAGTGTTCGGTTTGGTTTCTTTTTGCTCTCCTGGTTTGGGGGCTGTGTCTGCCCCCCCCCACCTCGGGCCCGGCTTCTGAGTGTGAGTGAAACAGTGGGCTCTGCCTCAGAACTGAATGTGCGGGGCCCTTTTTCCCTGGGGCTCACTGAGTTTGGAGGCAGGAGGTTGGCAGGAGAGAGAGTTCATGGAAAGGCCACGTTTTCTAGGCGATTAGCTCAGTATTAGAACCACAAAATGACCTCGGAAGCCCCTTGACCTCTCTGAGACTGGACATTGTGCTGGCTCCCGCGTCCTGCCCAGGAGGGAAAGTCACACCTCTGCTAGGAGTGGTCCTCTGGCTGTTGTGTGCCCGTGTCCTATCTCCTCTAGCCCCCAACCCCTTCTTTGCTATTTTGGAATTTCTGGATTGTTTTTCTATTACTATCTATTGGGGAGAAAAGGAATAAAATTGTTAGCTTGGGTACAGCCAGGGGAGGGAAGAGGGTGCTGGTCTGTTTCTCTGTGCAGAGCTCCTTCTCTCAGCCAGGCTCCAATGCAGGGGGGGGACCCCTACCCCCATGTCCAGTTTATCCCTCCCCCTTTCCTGTTTCGCTTGGAGGGAGCTGAGGGAAGCCAGACAAAGAGAAGTGGTAGGAGAGGTCCACAAGGCTTCAGAGGGATAGTGGAACAAGCCTCGGGATCCTAAGGAGAGAGAGGGTTCCCCACTTGAACAGCTCCTTGGTGCTTACTGTGTCTCAAAGTCTGATATCCAAATCCACAAAGGCTCAACCCATTTTTTCTGAAGTTCCTTTGTTTGGGAAGCTATTCCTGTCACCCCTTTTCCCTGACCCCCAGTCTCACCTCAGCTACTCACAGAGCCCATGGAATACTCCTCCACCAAAGGAGCAAGAGAGCTGGGAGAAGGGTCAGTGCAGACTCTTCTGACCATTTCCAGGGAGAGCTCTGCCATGTTAACTAAAGTTTCCAACAACTTTTAATTTTCAGAGATGGGTGGATGTTTTCTGAGACGTGAACTCTGAACACAGAGCTTTTCCAAATCTGTATTCTGCTTGCTATATCTTAAAAATCCACACTAGCGGCCATCATCTAAGGAGGAGAGAGACAGACACACACAGAGACAGAGACTCCAGCTGGGAAGAGGAAATGCTCCCTTTGGGTTAAGACTAGGAGAGACAGAGCCTTGCTGGGATGTGCTTGGTATTGGTTTGCTTTTTGTAAATTGTCTTTTGTAATTTAGGGACTTGGTCTCAGGCAAGAAATAACTGTAGTTGGTTGGTATCCTTCCCTTTGTGCCTGGGTGGCATAATAAATGCAGGGGGTGGGAGCCTCAGGAGAGACAGGGAGTAAGCAGAAAGGTGAGCTAGGCTGCTCCTGGACTGAAAATATTTGGGGCTTCAGGGAGATGTGCATCCATTACTCATAAAGGCAGATAACCAATTGTGGGAGGTCTATAGGCCCAGGTAATAAAGAGCTAGTTAGTCACCTGGGACTTTACAAGCTTCTCTCTGGCAATGTGAGGATTAGGGGTTCACCAATGGGAAGGAGGAGGAAAACAATGGAAAGGGAGGGTTAGGGTTCATTCAAGGATTTCAGTCCTACAGGTGGGAACTTGATCTCCCTTTCCCTTGCTCGCAGACCCCTGCCTTTGCAGAGCTGAGCGCTGCCTAGGGCTCCCCAGCCCTTTGGGCTCCCCTTCTGTAACTCTGGTGGCTACCTGTAGCCCTCCTCATCTTTGACCTCTTTTCCCTCCAGGTCCCTGGTCCTTCCCAGCTTTCTCCTACGCCCACCGGCTGGGCAGACTGGGGCAGCCCCAGTGCCCCGTGGTGGGTCTCCCTGGGAAGCGGCCGGGGAATGGGGCCCGGTTAGAAAACGGAGTGGGGAAGTTTCCCAGCGTGAGTTGAGCGCTGACGGATTTGTGATGGGCCATAAAACTGGCGCGTTCAGATTCGTAAATCAATCTTGCCTTTCTCACAGTATAAACGTTCGCTTTATCGGCAGCAAGAAAGCGCTCAGCTCGCGCTTGGCGCTTGTTTATTTGAACACGGACATTCCCAGGATCCGAAGAGTGTGGGCATTTTAACAGAACCTGTCCGGAGTGCCTTCGTGTCAGTTTGCTGCTCTTTTCCTTGTCTTTAAAAAGAACTTCTCCGGTTCAGAATTGCCGTCTACCCATGCTCCAGCATATTATATCTTCCCTCTCTCGCTTGCTCATATTTTTTCTTTTAGATTTTAGTGGAGAGTTTTCTTTGGGGAACCATTTTAATGGATTTGTGGTCAGGACCTTGCAGGGAGTTGCCCGGGCTCAGGATCCACGTCCAGAGCAGGCTGAATTCAATACCAGTCTGTGTTTTGTATCTAGACAATCAAAGCCGACCACCCCCCTACAGAGTCTGAGCCCTGCCGGCGCCCCACCGGTGCTTTGGGAGCAAGATTCCGAGGAGGCCAGGCCATCCTAGTGCCTTCTGCAGGGGCCCGCAATGCCGCCATGGCTGGACCTTACCGGGAGCCACACGGGGGTGGCTGTTTCTTTGGGGGTTGCTAAACCATCTGGGTCCACAGTCTTCTTCCCATTGAATTGCTTTTGGTTCAGAACCTTCCAAACAAATCAAAAGGGGAAACCCCAAGCTTTCCTACCCTAAACCGCATTTGTTCTTCCCCTGTCCCGCCTGCCCCAGGCGGCT